GGGGTGACCCCTTTCGATTTAGTCACCCCTCTTTCCCCAGCCTCTCGCCCAGGCCCCCAAAAGCACATGGCCGCTTTCGACATGTCGAGGTAACCCTCAACCGCGCCGAGCTATGGGGGGGGGGCCATTTTGATTTTTCCACTCGCACATGTTTGGGGTACGAATGTGGAACTCATCCTTGAAGCTCGCGTTGTGCATCCTGCGTATGACAGGATTGTTGTTGGGCCGAGGACCTTTTCAGAGACGCCGCGCTTCGCTGACATCATTGTGTGCCCCGCCACCACGCAGAGGCAGATGGTGAAGCAGCCGATCACAATGCGTCGCGCACAGCATCGCACAGTGTACGAATTTGGGTGGGAACAGGGCAGATCTACCAACAAAGGTGCTGGATGCTCGATCGTGCTCCACTCCCGGGCCACGCGCGGATGTCACGTGGTCGACCTTCTGCGAAACCCCTTGGCGAGCTGGCGGGGCGCGGGGGACTCGCGCGCATTCGCTCAGGTCACTTTGACGTCGCTGTCATTGCCGTGCACGTCCCTCCACATCGCAATATGCGCGTGGACCATTGGCGACGGACTTGCCGAACACTTACATCGGTCTGCGTAGGAGGCGACAGGAATCGTTCGTCATCTTTGGTGCGGATTGCATCTGTGGTTTTGGTGTCATTAGATGGACAGGCCACGCGATCGCCACGCCCAGTGTTGAGCAGCAGCGCGTGGGCCGTGTCGCCTGTTCCGTCGAGAACGAGGTCTCCATGGAGCGGTGGCGGCTCCTGGAGATGGAGAGCGCGGCTGCAGTCGACGTTTTTTATCCAGTTGGCCCGACGGCTTTGTGAGTTCACACCCAGAGTTCACCAGATCACAATATTGCGCCGTCGGAGGCGTTGGATTCCACAGTGCGTTGCAGGGCACCTCGGAACGCGATGACAGACGCGCAGGCGATCCCCGATTGTCGACCGCGCGACCATGCCCCAGTCCACTGACAGGTTCGGCACGTTCTTCAGGCGCCGCCTGGGCCCAGGGCGGGGCCAGCTTGGGACGAGAATTCGGCCGTCAGACCATTCCGACCCGGTAGAGCTGGAGCCGGGGTTCTGAGTGAGCTGGCGTCGATCACAGGCCTCGCAACGCGAGTGGGGACGGGAAGTGAATCGCGTTGTTCCGAGTGTCCCATGGGCCAAGCTCGCAGAGGACGTCCGCGAATCAGCGCTCCCTGAGCCGGCCGAGCGCGCGCAGCGAGGCCCGTCGGCGCCGCGCCTCGAGGCGCGCGCCGGAGCTCTGCAGCGCAGGCGATCGGCGCGCGGAGGCAGCCGCCCCGAGGGGCATCGCCGTCGCGCGCGCGACGTAGAGAAGGACATCAAGTAACTGAAGGGGCGAATGGACATCGAGCACGCGGGGGGCCTTCTCGTGGAAGGCGGATCACACCGTCACGCGGCTGATAATCGCGACGTCTGGCCGGTCATCTACGCAGTGGGAGCTCGCTGCCGTGGGCCCCGGCAGCTCTCCTTCAACGCCCCCGATAAGTGCATGCAGGGCCTCGCGGAGTGACTGAGACGCTCCGCGCGGCTGCTCGCGAGGGCGGCTTCAGCGCCCGCGCGCTGCAGGACCCGGCGGGGCCCGCAAGAGGGGCGCTCGAGACGATTGAAGAGAAAGGCATTGAGCACTTCGATGGAGCTGCGCCCGACCCCCTGGCCCGCGACGACTGGCACCGCGCGATCGAGCAGCTCCAGCGCGCAGCTCGCAGGAGGTGCGCCCCTGATCGCTCGGCCCCCGCCAGGGTTTGGCACTGGCTGGTGCAGCGCGCCGGGGAATAGATGGCGGGCTCGCGGCCCGGCTCGGAGCATCTGTCAGAGCGGCAGCGACAACGCACGGGCAATCGAATGCGTGTCCAGCGCCCGCGTTGCATTCAAAGCCGCTCACGCCTTCTCAGCCAGATCCGCGCTGGGACTCGCGCCCTTCGGCAACGGCACTGGAGTGGGGCCCCCCAGCTCTCCGAGGGGAACTCAATGGAGGGCGCCGAGTCCATGCGCATTATCCGCTGAAGCTGTCCGCGCGGGAAGGCCTGGTTTCGGGCGGTGTATATACATTTGGTCTCGACGTCCTCGTCTCCGACCGCGCGCGCGCGGGCGCGCGCCTCATCGACGTCGCCAAGTTGCGCTGCTTGCAACAAAAGTACACAGCTGGCGTCCCATTAAATTGGGAGCGCCCCGCCTGCCCGTGAAGGATACATTTCGAACGGCTTCCCCCTCCGCAGTTGACGCTGCACTTGCCCGCGCAGTCGCGCCAGTTGCGCCTGATGGGCATTCGGGCGGGGGGGCGGATCGGGCATTTTCAACCGGCGCATGGATCTGGGGCGGGGGATGGGAACGCCCGCGGTTTTTCGCGCGCAGCCTCCTGCGCCCTGTCGGAGCCTGACGAGTTCAGCTGCGCGAGGGTGACTCTGCGATTTGTTGCGGCGCGCTGGAGGCGCAGGCCCCGTTTGCTCTAGCCCCCAGCGTCATGGCGCGCGCCGTGACAGGCCTGGTGCATGATGTGCCGGTCAGAGACCACGCTGGATACGTTCACCAGACGACCCCCCCACCTTGCCGGTGTCGTGCAGAACCTGGGTGAGGAGAAATACGCGCCCGTCACGTTCGGTCCCGGGGACCACGCTGCTTCTCGAGCACTTCTTCCGCGCGTCGCCGCTCGCCCAGGGGCCGCGTCTTCCGAGTGCCTTTATTCGGGTGGGATGACGCAGCTGGCGGCAGGAAGCAGAGCGGTCATCGAGGGGGGGCAGCCTGCGGCAGTGGCGGCGCGCGCGCGCGAGGTATCCCGAGGGCGGCGCTCAGTCTCTACCCGTGCTCTTTGGTAGTCTTGATGGCCCTGGCGAGGCGCCGACCTCTCGGGGGGGCGGCCGCGTCGTCTGCGCGGCCAATCCATGGATGCCCCAGCTGCAGCGCGATGCACAGGCACTGCGATTTCCCAGCGCGGGTGAGAAGTTCTTGGACATGCATTCCGTCAGAGACATCTTCACTGGGTCTATCGCCGCCATTACGTTCTGTAGCTTCGATCCCAAGAAGCTCTGTCTTGTCCCAGAACTCCGAGGCCCGCCCAGAAGTTCCGCGAGGACCTGCGCTGGCGCCCCCGAGGAACCCCTAGAATAATTCGCTCGTTATCTACTCGGAGATGGGGGGGCAGGCGGCGCGGCGCGACTGTCTACGGCCGCGGGGCACTCATAGCTCGCCAGTGCCACCATCTTAGCCATGAGCATCGCGTCCCTGCCCACATGTTAGTCATCGCGAGTCAGCGTCTGTACTGCGTCCACTACCAAGAGTCGGTCACTGCCAGGCGCCACGTCGCGAGGTATCTGCAGCGCAGTCGGCGCTTGCGCGGCTGGAGCCCCTGCGCACCCCCCGCCCTAGAGCCCGCGGGCCTCCGCTGCCCTTTCTGCCAGAACCTAGAGGCCGCGTTGGAGGGATTCGTTGACTGCGCGCCACCAGGCTCGAGGCACCTTGATCAGTTTGAGACCCTTGCAGAGCTGCAGCGGCGCGTCCGAGACGTTCGCGCGCCGCCGCCGCCAGACTTAGAATCGACTGTTATGCGGGGTGGGCCTGGCCATCCGCGCCCTCGGCCAAGAGCCAGGGGCGCTCGCCGGCCCAGCAACAGAGGCAGTGGCGATCGAGGTCAGGCTGCGAGGCGCCAGGGAGTCGAAGGCAGAGGACACGATGGGCGCCCCCCCCGCGACCGCGGGCGCGATCCCCTCCAGAGAGCACGAGGGCCCAGGAGGCAGCGGTCGCCGCCAGCGGAGCCGCCCCCCCGCGGCCTCCGCAGCAGCGGCAGCAGGCACCGCCAGCGGCAGGTCAGCCCCAGGGAGTCGCGAACGCTGTCAGCCAACTCTCCCAAAACGCCGAAGCGACGCGCAGGTTGCAGCGCAATTGCGCGATGGGCATCGGCGAGGAGGCATTCGCGATCGAGCTCGCCCAGGCTATCTCCCCAGTGCTGGCGCGAGCGTTGCTGGAAAACGCGCAGGGGCTGGTCGCCTTAGAGGCGGCGATCTACCGCATCATCAACTTCGATCGCGATCGCGCTGCGCGCCAGGCGACGCGAGCGACGGCCAGGCATTGCGCGAGAGAAGTCAACTGCGTCCGCCGAGCTGGGCGCGCTCGGGGCCCCTCACCCGCATCTGTGGCTCGCGCTCGTAGGTGGGGCGGCTCAGCAGGGAGAGCGCGCGGGGGCCGCGAGCTACAGGCCCTGAAACAGTGCGTCGACGCAGACGAGGGGGGCCCGGCGATCGCCGACGAGACGCCGCGCATGCAGGCGCGCCGCTGCAGGATCTCGCGCGCGCACGATCGGAAGCCGATTGAGATTCACCCCGGGGTTCACCGCGCTGGCGCGCAGCCGAAGCCGCTCGACTCCGCGGAGCAGCTCGGGGGCAAGCTCGCGAAGGGAACGCCGCCAAGGTCTCACAGATAGCGGCTGGCGCAGATGTTCCTCGACAGCTCCGAGGCGCAGATGCCGCGGCGTCGCGGGTGGCGTTGGGGCTCGAGGGCCAGGGCGCCCTCCAGGGCTCGGAGTCGCCATCGCCCTTTCTGGGGCTCGAGAGTCAGGGCGCCCTTCGGGGTCAAAGCCGCCCTCGTCTTTGCTGGGGCTCCAAGGTCAGTCGGCCGCGTCTTTGCTTGGGCGCCTCGAGCCTGCGCCGTCAGTGCCGCTCGCTGACTCCACTGGCGGCCAGGACAGCGACCACGACGGAGCCCGAGTTCCAAGATATATCCTCCCCTTGCTTCGCAGACCGCGTCTGCGCCCACCCCGTGGCATCCGCCCATTGGTACGATGACCCTGGGGATTTCGGCTGGGGCTACTTGTCTTTCGGTGAGTTCGTCAGGCCTGGGAGGCAGGAGTGAGAGGGGATTGCAGAGTCAGTTGAATCCTAGAGTAATTCCGCTACAGGCTTCGGGAGGCCCTCCTTCCTATCCGCTCCTTGCTCCCTCGCGGACGTCGTCGTCTGTTCCTCCTCGCCTTACCTCCTTGTCGAAGTGGAATGCCAGCATCCTCGGACTGATCGGAGCAGCCCCGAGCGGGCTTCACTGACGCGCGCCCCGTCCGTCGACTGATCCATGGGTTCTCAGTCTCTGGAGTTTTGGCCTGTCCAAGGGGAGTTGGCTGTTCTGTGAAGCCGGGTCCGCCGCGCAGGCCTGCCGCTGGTCGTCCACAAGGTCTGTGGGGCGCCAGCCGCTCCTGCCCCACATGGATCTGTCCGCCCTGTGGGCCGAGGAGCGCGTGAGTCCCCCCCCCACGTGCTGAGCGCCGCGTTGATGTGCATTCGAGGAACTAGAGCTTCATTTTGGCTTCAACTTTGCCGAACTTTGACTCGTGCTCCTGGTGAGCTCGCCGCCGCCTCCTCCTTCTCTTCCTCCTTTTCCTCCTCCTCCTCCTCCTCCTCCTCCTCCTGCTGCCCTGCGAGCCTCGTCCTTTTCGTTTTCCTCCTTCGTCCAGTGCCAGCATCCTCCGCCTTGTCCTTCCTCCCTCCTCCCTCCTCCTCCTCCTCCCCCTCCTCCTCCTCCTGTTCCTCCTCCTTGTCGTCGCCCTCCCCCTCCTCCTCGTCCTCCTCCTCCTCATATTTTTCCTCCTCCTCCTCCTCCTCCTCCTCCTCCCTCCTTCCTTCTCCTCCCTCTGCCCTCTTCCCTCCCCCTTCCTCCCCCTCCCGTACATCCCCTCCTCCTCCATTATCCTCCTCCTCCTCCTCCTAAGCCTTCTCCTCCTCCCCCCCTCCTCCTCCTCCCCTCTCCCTCACTCCTCCTCCTCCTCTTCCTTTGCATGTTCCTCCTCTTCCTGCCCCGTCAACCTTCTCGTTTTCCTCCTTCCTCCCCTGCCGGCGTCGTTCCTCCTTCCTCATCCTTCTCCTTTTTCCTCCTCCTCCTCCTCCTCCTCGTCATCCTCCTCCTCCGCCTTCTCCTCCTCCTCCTCCGCCTTCTCCTCCTCCCCCCTCCTCTTCCTCCTCGTCCTCATCCTCGTCCTCCTCCTCTTCTTTGTCGTCCTCCTGTTCCCGCCCCGTCCTCCTTGTCCTCCTCCTCTCCTCCTGCCAGCCTCCTCCTCCTGCCAGCCTCCTCCTCCATGGCCCCACGCCCGCGCGCGTGGGCCCTGTCCCCCTGCTCCTGCACGGCCCCGTTCCGCGCCCATCGCGCCAGGGCGGCGCGCTTGGGCAGCCGCGCGCTGCGGCGGCAGAGGGGGAAAATCGGAGGAGGAGCGTACCCGTCGGTCGTTCGTCGGCCGTCGTTTGTCGTTCGTCGTACGCCGTCGTCTTTCGCCGTAGGTCGTTGGTCGGCGGTCGTTCGTCCGTCGCCGTCGTCGTCGTCGATTTCGTCGTCGCCGTTCGCCGTTCGTCGTCGCCGTCGCCCTCGGCGTCGCCGTCTTGCCGTCGTAGAGTCACCGTCGGAGGGTCGGAGGCCCGGGGGGGTCTTGGGACTCTTCTTGGCCCTGAGAGACATTGGGAGGCCCCATATATACGCTGTCTGTTGAAAGTCGGCATTTCTGGACTCCCAGATCCCGATCCACTTCTAGTGCCTTCTGCTTCAAGAATCGATGTGCCTCTTCTGTGTTTTGTTTTCTCTGGGAGGGCCTGGACCAAACCAATTTTATCCGCCTTCCTACTTCATGTTTTAGCCTACTGTTTCCGACCGGCGTGTAACCCATGCCGCTACCCTTCCTTCGTTTTCCCCGTTTTCCTAGGAGGCCCTCGTGGCCACCGCTGGATTCGCCCTCGAAATCTTGGTCAGAACGCTCCCCTGGAGAGGTCTCGGGAATAGCGTTATCGGTACCTCGTGGTTCCCCTGACAAGTTCATACGTCTTCATCACCACCATATACCATTCACGATCATCGTCATCAGCACCATCATCATCGTCACGACCAAACTCAACATCAACATCACCATCAGCACCATTGTCATGCTCCATCACCGTTCTTGTTCATGCTCGTATTCACCGCCATCAGCGTATCCACCTATCATACCAACATCATCATCAGCATCAGCATCAGCATCAGCAGCATCTTCTTCTTCATCATCATCATCATCATTATCGTCAGCACCAGTATCATCGTCATCATCATCATCATCATCATCATCATCATCATCATCATCATCATCGTCATCGTCATCGTCATCGTCATCAGCATCAGCATCAACATCATCATCGTTATCATATTCAGCATCATCGTCGTCGTCAGCAGCAACATAAGCAGCAGCCTTATCAACATCATCATTATCATCAGTATCATTATTATCATCGTCATCAGCATCATCGTCGTCGTCATCGTCATCGTCATCATCATCGTCGTCGTCGTCGTCTTCGTCGTCGTCGTCACCGTCATCATCACCATCACCAGCACGCGGTGCCGCCGCCGCCGCGGCGGGATCAGGGGGAAAGACCTGCTGCGGTGGGCGCCGAGAGCGCTCGTCGCCATCGTTGCCGCCGCCGCCGTCGTCCCCCCTGGGGGATTGGGGGCGAGGCAGGGGGGGGTGCAGATACAGTCGTACCGAGGTATAAGATCTAGGTCGCTTCGGGGAGGGTGTCCTAATGTTGTTTGTATTTGTTGGATGTTCTTGTGCATCCTGGGGACGGCCCCCTTGGATGTTCTCTGTGTGTTGGTCGGCAGAGGGTCTCACGTTCTTGGAGGATGTTCTTCTGTCCTAGGTTTGACTGTAGGGGAGGAGGAGGCAGGAGGGGGAGGGAGGGGGGGGGAGGGGATAGGGCAGGGGGAAGGGGAGTTGTCTGGGCAGGACTGGGAGAAGTGGGAGGGCGAGGATCTGTAGTAAGTGCCGCGCGGCCTCCCCTTCCTGTACTGGGGGCGTCGGTGGAGATCCCAATCCAAAACAGTACACGCAGGTCGTTGAAAGTAGGTATTTTGGGATTCCCAGATCCCAATCTACTTCAAGCGCCTTCCTACTTCAAGAATCGGCGTGCGTTTGCTGCGTTTTCTTATTCTCTGGGAGGACCTGGGCCCAATCAACTTAATCCGCCTTCCTACTTCATGTTCTTACCTACTTCTCCCGACCGACGTGTACCGGAACCAGGGCCGAGACCCCCCGAAGGCGAGCCGAGCTCCAGGCGACCCGAAGAGGCGGAGGGGTGAGGCTCGGGCGGGGCTAGGACGAAGACGAATCCGTTCCAGGGCCTTCCAGAACGCTCTGAGAAGCCCGCGGCGCTCCAGACGTCCTCCAGAGCCGCCGGGTCCTTGAGATCCTCGATGTATCCCCGTCCGAAGTCATCCTCGTCTGGGCGGAGAGGACGAGGGAGGAGAGCGAGGGCGAGAGGGCGAGAGCGAGGAGAGGGAGCGAGAGGAGAGAGGAGAGGGGGCGAGAGGACGAGAGGAGAGGGAGGAGAGCGAGGAGGAGGGAGCGAGTCACTTGTTCTCGCCTCGGAGTTCGAGAGGACGAGGGCGAGGGGAGCGACGGACGAGGCGCGGCGCGTCGTGGCGCCGCCTGCGCCCAGCGCCCTGGTGGCGCTGGGCGGGCGGTCAGGGGGGCGGGCGGTCAGGGGGGCGTCGCCCGTGGCCCGGGTCAGGGGCTTCCGAAGGTATCTAGGCCTCCTAGATGGGCTTGGCACCGCTCGGACGTGTGCATTTTCCTTCGGCGAGGACCATCGAGGAGCATCCTTGATCAACTGGCGAAAAAACCACGCGCGAAACCGAAAATTAGCCTGGCGAAGAACCCAACCATATGCAGTTGTCAGTACCGCAGCTGCGGGTTTCATCTTCAATGGAACTCCCCATAGGACTACGGAACGTGTGAGGGGTGTGCCGAGATGGGTACCACTGGGGCATTCGGCGAAGCTCCCTATGGGGACATGAAACACGCGCGGGGCGTGCCGACATGGGTGGCGGAAACGCATGTGCAGGCCGCCGCTGGGGCCTCCAGTGGAGCTCCCTATGGGTCCCCGAAACATGATGCTGCTGCGGGGGGGGGGGGGCCGGGATGGGTGGCGGAGACGCATGTAAGCGCCGCTACTGGGGCCTTCGGTGGAGCTCCCTGTGGGGCCACGAAGCGCGTGAGGGGTGTACTGGGATGTGTGGCGGGGACGCATGTGAGCGCCGCCACTGGGGCCTTCGGTGCAGCTCTCTATGGGGCCACGAAACGTGTGAGGGGTGTGCCGAATTGGGTGCGGGTGGTGACGCATGCAGGCGGTGCCACTGGGGCCTTCGGTGGAGCTCCCTATGGGGCCACGAAACCTGTTGTTGTGAGGGGCGTGCTGGGATGGGTGGCGGGTACGCATGTGAGCGCGGCCGCTGGAGCCTTCGGTGGAGCTCCCTATGGGGCCACGAAACGTGTGAGGGGTGTGCCGAATTGGGTGGGTGTGGGTGACGCATGTGAGCGCCGCCACTGGGGCCTCCGGTGGATGGGGCCACGAAACCTGTCAGGGATGTGCCCAAATGGGTGTGCGGGACGCATGCGCATGTGAGCGCCGCCACTGGGGCCTTCGGTGGAGCTCCCTATGGGGCCACGAAACGTGTGAGGGGTGTGCCGAATTGGGTGTGCGGGACGCATGCGGGCGGCAGCACTGGGGCCTTCGGTGGGGCTCCCTATGGGGCCACGAAACGTGTGAGGGGTGTGCCGAATTGGGTGTGCGGGACGCATGCGGGCGGCAGCACTGGTGCCTTCGGCGGAGCTCCCTATGGGGCCACGAAACGTGTGAGGGGTGTGCCGAATTGGGCGTGCGGGACGCATGCGGGCGGCAGCACTGGGGCCTTCGGTGGGGCTCCCTATGGGGCCACGAAACGTGTGAGGGGTGTGCCGAATTGGGTGTGCGGGACGCATGCGGGCGGCAGCACTGGGGCCTTCGGCGGGGCTCCCTATGGGGCCACGAAACGTGTGAGGGGTGTGCCGAATTGGGCGTGCGGGGCGCATGCGGGCGGCAGCACTGGGGCCTTCGGTGGGGCTCCCTATGGGGCCACGAAGCGTGTGAGGGGTGTGCCGAATTGGGTGTGCGGGACGCATGCGGGCGGCAGCACTGGGGCCTTCGGTGGGGCTCCCTATGGGGCCACGAAACGTGTGAGGGGTGTGCCGAATTGGGTGTGAGGGACGCATGCGGGCGGCAACATTGGGGCCTTCGGTGGGGCTCCCTATGGGGCCACGAAACGTGTGAGGGGTGTGCCGAATTGGGTGTGCGGGACGCATGCGGGCGGCAGCACTGGGGCCTTCGGTGGGGCTCCCTATGGGGCCACGAAACGTGTGAGGGGTGTGCCGAATTGGGTGTGCGTGACGCATGCGGGCGGCAGCACTGGGGCCTTCGGTGGGGCTCCCTATGGGGCCACGAAACGTGTGAGGGGTGTGCCGAATTGGGTGTGCGGGACGCATGCGGGCGGCAGCACTGGGGCCTTCGGTGGGGCTCCCTATGGGGCCACGAACGTGTGAGGGGTGTGCCGAATTGGGTGTGCGGTGACGCATGCGGGCGGCAGCACTGGGGCCTTCGGTGGGGCTCCCTATGGGGCCACGAAACGTGTGAGGGGTGTGCCGAATTGGGTGTGCGGTGACGCATGCGGGCGGCAGCACTGGGGCCTTCGGTGGAGCTTCCTATGGGGCCACGAAACGTGTGAGGGGTGTGCCGAATTGGGTGTGCGGGACGCATGCGGGGGGCACATGGGGCTCCCTATGGGCCACGAAACGTGTGAGGGGTGTGCCGAATTGGGTGTGCGGGACGCATGCGGGCGGCAGCACTGGGGGGCCTTCGGTGGGGCTCCCTATGGGGCCACGAAACGTGTGAGGGGTGTGCCGAATTGGGTGTGCGGGACGCATGCGGGCGGCAGCACTGGGGCCTTCGGCGGAGCTCCCTATGGGGCTACGGAACGCTGTACTGGGCGGGTGAAACGCAAGGAAGAGGGGGAGGAGGGAGGAGGAGGAGGAGGAAGGAGGAAGGAAGGAGACGCGGGGCACCGTCTCTTCAAAACGAGGACCCAACACCACAGGATGGTTGGGAAAAACACAGGGAATGGACGTCCGAGCGATGGCGAGTGGGGTCCGAGCAGATGGGGTCGGGGGATCGCGCCGCATCGCCGATGCATCGGCGATGCGGCTCGACGCGGAGCCCGATTTGCTTCGCGTCTAGGTCGCCGATGCATCGCCGACGTCGACGATGCATCGGTGGTGCATCGCCGACGCATCGCCGACGTATCGGTGATGTGGCCCGATCCTCCGACCCCATCTACTCCGACCCCATCTAGGAGGCCTCTAAGGTA